TAGGGAAAAATGTGGCCACATTTTGTACGTGATTTCTAAGCTGTGTGTTTTCTAAAATGTGATGCGTTTTTGTACTAATTGGATGAATGTAACACTTAGCATCTTAGTGTGAAAACTCAGAGTTAATTTAAAATGTGCTTTTTGCATATATTTTCTAATATTTTATTAAAATCCACAGTTTCTGCAAATATTTATCCCAGTAAATCCATTGAAAAGTGAAAAAAAAATAGGAGCACAAACTCTGAGACCTGATTATTTGGAAAAAAAAAAAAAAGAGGACATTTTTCCAGCGCACAGCTGACAGTATTTTCCTAGCTACAGTGTGTAGGTTAGAAATGCTGGGATATTCAAAGAAATTACATGACAATAGCTTCAATATTTGGCCACACCATGTATTAAAACCTGGCAAATAGGTATTTGCAAATTGCAAGGACTGGTGTCAGTTGTGGAATATGGCTGGCAAAGTTTTCTTAACAAAAATATAATCGTGTCAACCAAAATTCACTTGTGACCCCATCACTTCACTAAAATTGGTATGCTAATAAGAATATTACATTGCAAGAAAACTCATACATTCTTGTCCCAGAATAAAGTAACAAAAAGATTACATACTGCTTGCATATTGCAGTGGCTGTTCTGGCTCATGCAGTTATCAACACAAAGCAAGCAACAAGGACTTTTTCATGTTCTCTTTTATTGGACCAACTTGGGGCTGGAGTGGTGCAGTCACTAAGGTATACGGTTGACAGTGTAGCGGTTGCAAGTTTGAGACCATAGTAGAAGTACTCGCAGTACTGCCTGTCAGATTTAATGGATCTGCAAGTTCTGCTGAATACCTTGTTACAAGAACACAAAAAGGAAGGATTGGACTAACTGTTTAGTTGTGAGAGACGTTAGACCAGTAAAGGATGCTGCCAAAAAAATCCTTGTCTCTCACATATATGGACCTTTGTAGCTACAGTATCATCACTCTAACCCTACCACAACTCAAAGCAAATATTTTGAGCTTCAGACTAAGTCCTGATGCATTTGGAGTACTGCCAATCTGAAGCTTTCAAAATGACAGGTTTTACTTTACTATCGTGAGATGTTACAAAATCATTATTTTGGCATTCATTTTACATGTCTTTTGGAGCTTGATTCTTAAGGATTTACATTTCTTAGCTTTTCTCAGCAATCCCTTGGGCAAGAAACTTACCATTTGTTTAAAATGAAAGCTGCAGTTCTTGGGTAACTTCAGGAGCTGGGGTTGTAAGAAAAAAATCCCAGTATTGTGCAAGTCTCAGTAAAATTGCAAAGACTGGCAGCATAGTATTTACTAAGGCTCACAAAGGCTTTACCCATGAACACTTCCATGAAAGAGGAAAAGCTGATGCTTCTGTAATTTTTGTTTTTGAGAAAAAAATGAGGAAGATAAACAGGAATACAAAGCGGAATAAACACATAAGCAGTGCTTTGGTTCTCCTTAAGCAAAACCAGACTAAATACTTGGATCATTTTCATTTTGCCTTTTGCTGTAAGATGACAGATGTTTCCAATTTCCTGAGCTTGGAAATATCTTTAATTTTATTAGAGTATAAAATAAACATAGCCCCTGAGTCAGCCAATTGCGTATGTAAATCGTATGTTGCAGCTTACCTTTCAGGATTTTTGTTTCTAGTAGAATTTGTGGGAGAAATCAAAACTTGTATGGCCTCACCCAGCATTTTGCAGACAGCATATGGACTGTAGCTTGAACTGAACTTACCTGCATACTAATAACAGGAGAGCTGCACCTCTGTGCAGGTGGCAAAACCCAGCGAGGAAACTGGATAAACCTCAAACAGTAGCCCAGCCAGTAGCCCCCAACCTACCCCTGAGCACATCCTGCCTGCATCCCATGCCCCCTGTCCCAGCTGGGCAAGCGGTTGCAGCGCCCACATCCTGCGCTCCCCTCCCTCAGCTGGCCAAGTAGCAGTGCCCATGCCTCTCTTCCATGGCTGGGCAAGTGGCTGCACTGCCCACATCCCATTCCCCCAGCCCAGCAGGGCAACCATTTGGCTATGCCCTGCTGCTGCTTGCACAGCTGGGGCAGGAGGGCATGGGATATGGGCATGGCACTGCTGGGAGTGGGAGCTATGCCCTGCTGCCGCTTGCCCCCTTCTACCTGGAGCGCGCCTGCATCGCATCCCTCGCCCCCACCCTGACTGGGCAAGCAGCAGCAGAGCATAGCTCCCACTCCCCACACTGTTGCGCCCACAGTCTGTGCCCTCCCCCCCAACTCCCCTCCATGAGTCCTGCGCCCCTCCGACCCCACCTGTGCAGCTCGTCCCAGTCCCAGCCCCAGCCCCAATCCCTCCCTTGCTGTGGGGGCATTGATCTGCCCCCCATACCCCTCCCCTCCCTGCCTCCGCCCACCAAAATAGTCTTACCAGCTGGAGGCAGCTGTGTCCAGTCCAGTGTAGTGAGGACTGCTGCCTGTTTAGTCTATGGCTGAATCTCCAAAGTGGCACTGAATCTTTTCCAAATCAATTCGGAGACTTTCGATTTGATTCAGACCTTTTAACTGGTCTCCTGATTCAATTTAGATTCAGAGATTCGGCCGCTGAATTGGGCCGAATCTCCCCCGAATCAAATCGGCTACCAAAGCTTCGCACAGCCTGCTCGTTACTACTGCACAGTAGTGTCACGTGGCACAAAGCAGTAATTAGCTACTGCACAGTCAGTGTCACCAAAAAGCAAAGCTGGGTCATTTAATACTGGTGTATGCAAGTACTAAATGATGGTGCTGTAACAGCTGTACAGTCAGCATCCCATGTAGATGCGGCACCTGTGTAGTGAGTGCATGCTTATTAACAACTTGAGCATGTTTCTAACTTGAGATATTTAGAATACAACAAAAATAATAATCCTATAAAAAAGAATGTCATTTTATGCCTAGATGAATAAAAAACTAGAATGGAGACTTGGAGCTTTATTGACTTAATTCTGATGGTTTATTCAAAAACCCTTACCATTTGTGTGTGTTGTTTGTTAATTCAAACAGCAGGTGCAAAGAACCTTCAACATGAATGTAATGCAGGGCAGAAAATCAAGGTGGAGACTGGTCCAAATGAAGCCTACAAACTGGATTTAGGACATGAGCTTCACTGTACTCAAGCTCCAGCCTATAATCATAAGGTAGAGTTCAACATGATGCCTTCTGTTAATTGTAGGGTTTCAGTCATAAGGGTGCGGTGGAGGCTAGTTTGGGGACAGTCATTATCTTCTCATTTTGGGTTTCTTTATAGTTTTATGTGTGGGGAAGTTATCAGAAATCTGTCACTAATTTCTGCTCCTGTTTATACCTCTATAAGTTCAGAGTAACTCCAGTGATTTTGGTTTTGTATATGAATTGTTTTCTTGAATTGTATCTTTTGTGAAGTGTTTGTATGGTATTTTTGCATATCCTTTTGCAACACCAGTACTTAGATGCTGACAATAATATGATTTGCCTGCACACAGTAACCATCAAAATCATGGTTTTTGTTATACTTGTGTCCAGAAATTAGCATCTTTTACCTGGGTTTGTAACACTTTTCACTTGAGCTTTAATGTAGCTCTATGGAAACTAACTTTTAGCTTAAAGCCTTTGGAAGTGGCCAGTTCTCTAAACTGCCAGAAGGCAGTGTAACTTCGAATCTTGCCTTCAGTAAATTCTGCCATGACCCTTTCCTTTTATCCTAATGATTCTAAAAGCTAAACATTGTTAATACTAAGCACTAAATGTGATCCGTGCACCTGGTTAAAAAGTAGGGTTTCTTATTTGTGAGAAATTTCCATTCTTTTGAAATTTGTTGTGGCCTGAATTGGATGAAAAAATTACATTTTGCAATTTTTTCATGAACTGGAAGCTTCCCAGACCCTGCAGTGAAGTTATCAATGAAACCAACATTCCTGGTCCTGAGACAGTTTATCAGGAAGCATGGCAGAGAACTCTGCCTTGCTTTTGGTGAAAGTTTAGTTAAACCAAATGTTTCAGCTGAAACTTCTCAGGAGTTTCATGAACTGGCTTTGTTTCAAAAAAAAAAAAAAAAAAATTGCAAGAAATTTCCATGAAGCTCTTGTGAAAGATAACTCACTTTGCCTAGCTACTTAGTCCATGTTCTATATCTATACAACACCTTAAATTAAAGAGGAATCAGAATGCATAGAAAGATGATGGATTTTGTTCTTCAGGTTCATTTACAGCATGAAGAACGTCCATCCCGGCTCCATTCGCACCTGGAAGTGAACTATGGAAAACACTGGGATGAAATCAACAACAAGAAGAAATTGCTGATCAGCCAGACATTTAAAAATAGTTCAAGTCATTCCCTAGCCAGCTACTTCATGGAGGTAATAGCATCTGCTGGGGAAAAGTACTGGCATTTCACAAAAGTAAAGGGCAAATTGAAAGAAAAATGGGGGGCAAAGCATAAAGTACAGCTGTGCACCAAGAAGTGATTCTGTAAATGGCATAATGGGTATCCTGCTTTGTCTTTTTAGATTAAATGTGCCCAGTATTATAAGAGAAAAGGCATTTCTTCCTGATTTATAGATGAGTAAACTTAACCTGGGATCTGAGAGTAGAGCTTAGTTCTTCCTATTCTGGTTATTGTTACTAGGAATAAATGTTTTGCAGTTCAAATTATTCTGTTAGCTACATTTGTACAAATGAATTGCATTCAGTAACTGATAGTTCTTTTGAAGCAAAGAGGACAAGACTCCAATCTGTTCCCTTTCTTAACTGCTTTTGCTCTTCAGACAATAAAAAATAAACATTTGTTATTAAAGCAAGTAGCTACGACCATGAGTACACCTCCAGCATACTCTGAGGAAGAGGGCTTATTTATTGAGGTAGCCAGTTTTTAGAACCATCCTTATCTTGTGCAGCATATGCCACTGGAGTTGTACAAAATCAGAATTTGTATCTTAATATTACTTGGTTACTTAATATTACTTAAAAACTTAATTCACTTAGTAGCTTTTTATTGAAAGCAGATTGAAGCATTATGTACCATATAAGAAGCTTCCTTTTAAAATAGTCAATCTACCATATTAAGTCTTTAAAGGAAAAAATAGATCTTGAGAAGGCTTGTATCCAGTTGAGACCATGAAAGGGAAAAATCCATGAAAAGTAAGACAAATAACAACAAGAAACCCATTAGCTGGACTCTTGTCAAACCTCAATAAAAATCTTAAGATTTGATTTGGTTTGAGTTTTGTGCAAGGTTTCAAGTTGGTTCATTTTATGCAAACCAGTTTTCCGGGTCTTAAGCCTGTCTGATTCACAATATGCTGCAGTGGGATCTGTTATGTTAGCAGTAAAATATAGTAAGCTACTGAGAACATAGAACACTTAGGTAGAATGTAATTGTAGAATTACAATTGCTAGACTTCATGTGTCCAGAGCAATGAAGAGAGACAGATCTTGCTATTTCAAAAAGAAAAACAAAACAGGAAAAACCCTCAACTGTTCTGTTGAGGTTCAGGTAAGTTTGCCAATAATACAGTAGAGCCTAGGTGGAAGTTTGCCTTCCTGTCACATGTACAACATGGGCTACTGTGAGACTGAGGAGAATAGCTCATGTAACAATCAGTGTGTTCCTATGTAAATCTGTAAAGACTCATTAAAGAACCCATGCACATAAACTTTTGTATTAGTTTGGGGGAGTGGAGGGGCTGGTGGGAGGGCAGGGGGAGGGGAGGTATAGGTTTTATAGAAATTACAGAACTTTTCAGCCAGGAGCTCTACATGCAAATAAATGTCAGACTTTTAGACAGATGTTGGCCATTTTATGTGTCCTGTATTCGCACTATCATAAAGCACAGTATACATGTTGGAGCTTATTTCAGCTGCGGTCTCCTGCAAAAGGCATATAATTTACTTGCAAGTGCTTGAAATAAAAAAAAAAAAATTATGATAATATCTGAAGCCCATTAAAACTACGTTTTTTTTTTTTTCTGTTGATTCCAGTGAACTCTGGATCAGACACTAAGTTAATAACTAACAAATATATATGAGCTAGCTAATTGCCCATCAAGAATGATGGATTTCAAGGAGTATTTACATGGCTCCCTGCTCACCCTTTGGAGCCAGCCATGTAAGGACTCCCTCCACCACCACCACTTCCTGTAGCCTTTGGCACAGGGGCTCCCTCCCCCACACCTGCTTCCGCCTTGCAGCAGGGCTTCCTCCCACCATTCCTCCCTGCTCCCCTCCCTCCCTCCGCACTGCCTCTCCTTCTTTGCTGGCTGTTGTCGCAGCTGGGTGGTGGGGAGCACCACCACCGTGACCCCCCCCCTCCCCTCCCCACATCCCTGCCACCTGGCCCTGACAACAGCCGCCACCATACCCCACCTTCACCTCCCCCTGCCCCACACCTTCCCAGGCCCATGAAGCCTCCCTCCATCACCACTGCCTCCCCCCACACCAGCTGTTGTCGGGGCCCCCTACCTGCTCCTCTCCCTCCCTCCCCCCTGCCACCCAGCCCTGATAACAGCCACCACCATGCTTCCTTTTGCCCAGTTGCCCTCCCTCCCTTCTTGGTGGCTGTTCTTGGGGGTGGGGGGGATGGGCAGTGGGGGGGATGCTGCCACCATGACACCCCCCCCTTCGACCTCAGGTAGGGAGGCGTGGGGAAGCCCCACTGCTCAGGTGGCCAGGGTGTGTTCGCCACTGCCACAAACTTCCCTGGCAGCAGCTCAAACTTGGGCCCATGCAGCCAATCGCTGCCTGCCCTCTCGGCAGTGCATGTGCAGTTGGTCAAAAGCATTACAAACAGACAGACAGACAGACAGACAGACTATCCCTTTATTATATTCTAATTCTGTACCAGGTTAAAAAAACCCATGAAAAGCTTTGACAAAAAATGACAAATGTGCATTGGCGAGACTTTTGCCTTGAACTTGTGTCTTCCATGGCTACTTCATACCCAAGCAAATATTCATTTGGCCTTGACAACTCTGATGAAAGATGCTTCTAAATTTAATTTGATTTTTTTGTGTTTTCCAGTTTAGCCTGCAAGTCCCTGAAAAGCAGATGAATTACAGAACCCAGCTGCAGCACTCCTGTATCTCTCAGGGTTATTCAGAGAGTAGCACCAACTTTAAGGTGCAGTATAATGACCATATGCCATTTGTGGCAGGACTGCAATGGAAAGATACCTCCAGAAATTACCTTAAGAAGTGGGAAGGTGAAGCATCACCAAAAGTTTCCTATCTGTGACTTGAGAAATTCTTTTGCAGATATGCTGCTGGGATTTTGTGGATTAGTTGTAGGGGCTTATCCTTTAAACTGTGGGTCCAATCTGATTAGAGGCAAAAATGTTCCATGAAGAGAGTAAATAAAGGGCAAGTCACAGTTTGAAGTCTTTGCTCTAGAAGGTACTGACCACATTCACAGTACTGGTGTTAAGGAAAAGAAAACACACCGGGGACAATGACTAGAATATTGAAAGGATCTTTTCAGTTGTCTATTAAACACTCAATCATATAGTGTGATTGTAGCCATAATAGTACAGGGATATGAGAGAAGCAATGTTTGGTGAGAGAATCTTTTATTGGACCAACCTATTTTGGGTTCTCTCCTTACTATCCAAGTTGGTCCAATAAAGGTATTACCTCACCTCACATATCTTCCTTCATACTTATACTTGTAATAATTCACCTTGGTGTATGTCACCAAAAGAGAGAGATAAATGTGAGTTTTTAAATGTTCTGTCTCAAGAAATTGTTTCTTGAGAAAAAATACCAAGAATTGGGTCTTTATTATTATATTCTGCATTTTACATTTGCAGTTATATGAGAAGCAAGAAGTGTATTTCTTATAGCGGGGGGGTTCTCAATAATTTATACACGTTTTAGCCATCAGCAGGAGTACAGGGACATGCTGAACAATAATTCTTGTTCTAATGCCCACTACTGACATTCAGGTCTGAGTCTGGGGGGCCCAACCCTTTTTTTTTTTCCTCTAGAGCTTGTCCCCATGCACCACTGCCAGCTAGGCTGCTGGCAGGATGGGCACTGCCTGAGATCCAAGGGGCCCAAGCAGAGCTCAAGCAGCGCCCAGCTGGCTGGCAGCCCACGTTGGGGGTGGCTCAGGAGTGCAGGCTCTGGAGAAAAGAAAAGAATCAGTCCCCTCGGAGCTCAAACAGTGAGCTAGTTTGGGCAGTGGCATGAGGCGCTGTGTCCTCTGGGTGCTCCAGGGCTGTGACATTTGCTCTGCCCAGTGGGAGCATTGAGCCTAGCTCCTAGTCCTGTCCCTGCTCACCAAGCCTGTAGTGGCAAGTCACATCTGTGCAAGTGAAGGATAGTCAGAGATGGTTTTTCACCTTAAGGTGCAACTGCTCTAGCACTAAGCTGATTAACATTTGTTCAGCTTACAACATAGGTGTAACAAGGTCCCTAGGTATACAAATACTTTTTTGGGTCTAGCCCTTACTGATTACATTAAGTGGGTCAGGTTCAGTGTAAATTTACATTTCAGCAAGGTTACATTTATGTGAATTAGAATACCACTTGACTCTGTCAGTGGATTTACCCCTCATGCCTACATTTTCAAAGCAAGCCTACACCTAGACAATTTTAGTGTCCAAATCAAGCAGGAAGGTGTAAGAAGGTTGAATTTACCATAGTGTTGTTCAGTAGACTTTAAGTGAATATACTAGCTTTGAATTTGTTCCCTGACCAAATAGTTTTGGGGATTAGCTTCTGGAGATTAACTTTTTTAATGTCTGGCCTTACAAGTCACTTGATATGGCAGATATTTACCTAATGTATTATAAGCAATGAATCACTTTTTCCTCAGTCTTTGGATGAAATTTCTTCATCTTACTAGCTAAATCACAAACAATATGCTTTATTGGCACAGCTAAATGGCATTTCAAGATATGCAGTAGACCTTGTTCAAAATGTATATACATATTGTAGAACTTAACTTCTGAAGTGTGGTATCCTGTCAGGTGTGAGAATAATCATGTGAATATAAGGGGTGTTCAAAGTGGGCCCTATTCGATTCGGATTCAGCCTGAATCGGGGACAGTGATTTGATTCGTTGATTTGGATCACTGTCCCTCATTCGATTCAGCCGAATCAGAATCTGAAGATTCAATGCTGATTTGGAGAATCAGCGATTCGGCCATAGACACAGCTTTAAAAGCTGTTTCTACATACCTTGAAGTAGCAGGAGCGGCTCGTGATTGCTGAGATGCTGGGGTACATGAAGCATCCCACAGGAGTGTGGGGGGCCCTCCATGTGCTCAGCAGCAAACCCAGAAGTGGACTGGATGTACTTCTGGTCTACTTCCGGGTCTGACAGGGAGTGTGCTGGGCCCCCTCCCCATGCCCCCCAGCTCAACGATCAGCTGCAGGGGGACCCCAGGTGGCCCCCCAGACCCAGGAGGCACCAGTGACTGAGCTGGGGAGGCATGGGGGGGAGGGGCCCCCACACGATTCCCGGTGGACCCGGAAGTGGACCAGAAGTGCTTCTGGTCCACTTCCAGGTTGCTGCTGAGTGCACTGGGGAGACCCCCATGCTTCTGTGGGACACTCCACATGCCCCAGCATCACAGCATTCATGAGGCCCTGCTACCTAGAGGTATGTAGAAAAAACATTTAAAGCTGTCTCTATATCCGAATCTCTCTGAATCGATTCAGAGGGTTCCGATTCGATTTGGAGAAATTAAAGCGTCTTCTGATTCGATTCGGATTCAGAGATTCGGCCACCAAATCGGGCCAAATCACTGCCGAATCGAATCAGGGACCGAAGCTTTGCACAGCCCTAGTGAATATGTGCTGCATAATTGCTTGCTCAGTGGCAATATAGATTATTCATGCTGGAGCAGATTATGCAATAGAACCCATGTTTAGCCAGTAGCCACATTGTCTCCTATCTGTTCATGGCCATGAATAAACTTATAGTAGCATGGCAGATAGAGTTTATAAGATCAGAATTAGTCTACACACATTTGCAGTTTCTAATTTACAAAGAAGCTAAAGATGTACCTTCACTTTAAAGGTCATGTGTGACAAAGTTAGCCTCCAGAAGATGGTCATGGCACCCCCTAACAGCCTGTAGACCTGGCTACTGGTTCCTCAGGCTACTGCCCTGACATGCCTGGATTATTTATATGAATTAGGAGGCTGTTCTCAGATTAAGACATGGGTGGTTAACTCTGCTCTGCTCACCATCAGGCTGCATCAGTTTGATTTAATCTTTCCTGAACAAGGTGTCGCTCTTTGCTACTGGTCTTAGTTAACCTTACTTTTAGTCTCTCTCTCCTTCTGTCTGGGCCCCTTGAACCTGCCTTAGTGCTCTGGACATCTTGGTCTTGCCTCTGTACTTTGGATGCAATGGGCACCTTCACTGTATTCTCAGCTTCAGCCCTCTAGCACCTTCGCCATACCTTGCCACCAGATGGGTCCCACAACTCAAATTACAGATAACTCCTTTTACAGTCCCTATGGCCATCTCCTCCTCTCCTTCAGCCACTCCCAAATCTTGTGGATGAAAACATCAACTCCTACAGAGTACAGCTACTTATGTCTAGAATGCTCAGCAGAGCTCCTTCCAGATCAGGGCCAGTGTCGCCTTTAGCTCTGGGCTAGCCCTATATAGCCCCTGACTCCTCCCTTTTCTGGTCACCTGATCCTCTTGCTGCCAGGAGCTAGGCTCAGGGGTTTGCTATTGTCTGCTCTGTGGGTATGCTGCTCCACAGCCACTTGGCTTTATTGGTCTTTCCTTTAACAAGCCTTGAGGCTTCCCCCCCTTTTCATTAACAGACCCACTGCTCATGCAGCCTGCACCCTATCTGCAGGCTGCCTCATTACAGTTCTCACCCTGCATTCTGTAGCTAGGTTTCTTTCATCAATTAGCAGGCTAACTAATCTGGATCCTGCCCTCTGTAGCCCTGTCTTACAACAAAGCTAGCTTCTCAATAAAGCTGTCTTCCTGCTGCCCCTTGAGCTCTGCTACCTGGCCCTACTCTCAGTGTTGAAACTTACCCCCTTGCCTTATTGTCTGCCAGCAGCCTAACTCCAGGTAAGTGGCCTGCAGCTTTTCTGCCACTTTGGAGCCACTATTTCTTTTTCCCTATTGGCTGCTTATTTCTACCCACTTCGCTCCAGTCAGCTGTCCCTGTCATAGGGTAACACGGAGTAGGAACTCCCTATAACACCTGACTCTTGTTAATTTTCTTGTGGTCTTAGGAAACAAGTAGCCTGAGATCCAGCTTTTTTACCATTTTCAAATGTATGCTATGTTACTACCTTTCAGGTGCACTAACAATGGACACCCCATGGCTGTATCTGTACACTTCTCACAAATTACACCAACCTCAGCATTCTGCTTATCTGTCTACTGTGGAGCTAACATCTGGGAAAGCCATTTCCATCAAGAACTTGGTGGTGGAAATGTTCTGCAAAAACAAAGGCAATGAAAAAGAGGGCAAGATTCACATCTATACCCCGACTGCTACGTATCTCCGGGTCAGTAACATACTAGCACTTCCTGTGTGCAAAAGAATAGTGTACAGCAGCAGTTGCAATTACACAGCATGCAGTGTACAGTAACTTGCAGAGTCTGTTGTTTAGAAATCGTTGTCAGTGAGTGCATGTATGCAAGATGTTTACTGCGTAGTTGACTATTTAACAGCACAGTAAATGTCTTGGAATCTACACATGCACCCCTATTATGGTGCACAAAACTAATAAGCTCTGTAGCAGGGTAGTACTTGTAAAATACTTTTTTCATATGCAGCAGCACACATGCAGATGCCGTCCCAGTTGCCAGCAGGCAGCCCCCATGTTGAAGCACCCTCTGCCCCAGACAGCCTCTCAGCAGCATGTGGAGCCCCATTCGAGTGGCTGTGGGCTGGTAGGCTGACCCCCAGGTCCCTTGCCAGCCTGGGCTGCTTTGACTGGGCTCCACATGCTACGCACAAATAAACTTATTTGCTTTGGAGTGTTTTGCTCCTGGGTGCATATTCAAACATCACGCCTGGGAGCAAAAAAATCTCTGGAACAATAAACATTAATTGCACATGTAGATGCACCTAGTATGTATTATTTCACCAGTCAGGGTCTCAGAGTGTGCCCTGAGTTCTCCCTGGTTTTACCATCAGTCCCCTCTAGCCTTTGTGTTATCAAGTAAGCACTGTCAGTGCCTCTCAGCCACTTCTGAAAATAGTATGTGCAATAGGTGAGGATGGTTTCTCTCTCTGCCAGGCTCAAATTCAGCCCTGCAAAAGCCCAATAAACAGATGACCAGTTCCCATGACCATGCAGGGGGAAGGAATTCAGTTGCGATAAGAATATGTTTGATATATTTAACAAATGTAAATCAATGGGACCTCCTTTTCAGCCAGCAACTTAGTGGGCAGGATACTCACACTCTTCCAGAATGTGGGACACCAGATTCAGATCTATCTACCTCCTCAGGACATACAAACTCACTTCTCACTTCCCTGGGAGGCTTGGAAGATATCTAGTTAAAATCTTTGCTCTGAAGTAAGCAGCATTGGTTGGAACTTGGGTCTCCCACATCCTATGCGAGTATACTAGCAACTGGACCATACAGTGTTCTGAGGTTGGGTTCAGGTATCACTTCCGTTGAAGTAGTTTTACATCCTATAACAT